ATAAATAAATAAAATTTTTTTTAAGAAAATAAAAAGCGTGGGAAAGGTTTATAAGAGTGTGGGAAGGGTTTGTAAAGCCTTAAAATACATACAAATACTAAAATAGGTATAACATCGCTACTTAGCCGATTTTCACGTAACGCGGTGTCTGGGTCGTAGCTTCCACGATAAGTGTGGGACCGCTGTGTATATGTGAAAGTTTCAGAAGTCAGTGTTCCCACTGTATTCTTTTCCTTATTTCATCCTCTTTATTTTCTAAAAAATTCTTTTGTGACCTAATGAGAGACAGCCAATGCTTTAAAAGAAAAACAAGCCTCCTACGTAAGGACTAGGCTCATCCCTGCAGGATCAGGCTCCATATGAGTCTAGGAGCCGCCCGAGGCCGCTTGTGCCGAAGGTTGGCCATGCCCAGTGACCGGACAAGGTGTTCGCTCCCTGGATCACTTATTTTCAACTTCAGTCTCCACCTCTTTCAGATTCCCTTCTTGCTGTCCCAGGACCCAGCCTCGGAAGTCACTGTAACCTTGCTTTGCTCGCAGGATAGGGAAAGGGGCGTAATAGATAGAGGAGTCCCTGATGGCCTGTTCCTTTAACTCCTCTCTTATTTCTCTTGCTGGTGCTGACATTTCCAACAAGAAAGTACAGTGTCGACTGAAGAGGTGAATAACCTCAAAGAACATTTTTCCATAGGACTAAATGCGAGTGGGATGGGCCTGACTTCAGAAGGCGTCACACCTCCCCACCCATTGTCATAGGCTTCCTCTTCCGTGGTGCCTTTTATTTCTGAGGCTTATCTGTAATGTTTTTCAGATTTCTTTCACAACTAAAGGATTAACGTAGCATACCAGGGAGGTCGTACAGTTTTTTTACAAGAAGTTTTATTACCTCTAATGTTTGTCTCATAATTACTGATTTAACTGCAGCTTGGCGAACACTGGACTTCTCAGCACTTAGTAATGGCTCACCTGGTGTTAGACACAAAACCAATGTGGAAGGAACCAGCAATGCATTTGGTAGCAGGAAGGGGTATCCCAGAAACATAGGAGACCTAGGGCTCGTAATTCTGGGGGAATAGACACAGTAATGCAGGGATGACTGGTAAGCTTGTTTAGCAGCTTTTTAGTCACCCCGAAACCGGACAGTGTGACACTCAGTTTCCAGCACCCGCAATTTAGGGTTTATTTTGACTCACACTTTTAGTCCAGAGTTGACTGGCTTCATCAGGGTGTGCTGAGGCGTCTATTGAGAGCAGGCATGGTAGGGCCCTGTAATCCAGCTCTTGGGAGGCTGTAAACAGGAGAATCACTATGAGTCCAATCTAGTAGTGAGACCCTGAGCACCCTGTAGACCCTTCCCTAAAATACAGGGGAGAAAAAAAAGAACATAAAGTAAAAGTATAACTGCACTACAGTCTGAAAACTTCACGTGTGTGTCTCTGGAACTTGCTCAGACTCTGCGAAGGCGTTGTTCCGTCATGCGCTACCACAGCTGCACAGAACCGTAGGGTTCTGTGGGAATCGACAGTTTGATGCAAAGCCTAACGCCACGTGAGACAGGCTGCTGCTGAGGACCTGGGAGTCAGTAGGTGGCATCCTTTACCGTCAGATCAGTGCTTCTCAAGCTGAATGGTAAAAGCTGTTGGAGCTGTCCGGGTGCACAAAGCAACGCGACCGCTGCCCTGCCCTGTCCTGTGCATTGACCTCTCTGAGTCTTCGGCCTGATCTTTCCCTGGATTGCCAGGTCAGGACTAAAGGGAGCTTGGTGTCCCGTAGCCTCTGACCCACCGTGGGCAAAGATCAACAGCACCCGGCAAGCACGTGGTCGTTGGAATGACAGAGTAGCTGTGTCTTGGCTTTTGTTTTCGCTGGTTGTATACCTCTGTGCAAGTTCCTCGTTTCCCTGAATCAGTTTCCGTAAACTGGGGATAGCAGTGCCAAGCTCACAGAGTAGCCACATGCATTACTATGCCCTGCTGTCTCTAAAGAGTTGGCGATAATTCCCATTACATAATTGGCAATGTATAATATTCATAGTGACTGTTGTGATTAAAATCTGGAATGCTGCAGGTCAAAACTAATTTTAAAAGCATCTCTAGGTTGGTTCCAGAATGATGAATTTCTTTTTTTTTTTTTTTAACTGTATTAATACAGGGTCTACAGGGTTTCACTACACAGATAAGACTCATAGTGATCCTCCTGTTTTCAGCCTCCCAGGTGCTGTGATTATAGGCGCGGGCCACCACACCCCCAGCATCGCCCTCTCAGTGTGCCCCCGGGTTAGGATCCAACTCCGGCCACTCCGCTCTGTTTAAGCAGGCGCTTTAGTCCCCTGAGCTATTTGGCCAGCCCTAGAGTGATGAATTTCTTTCTGTGCCTTTTATATATTCAACAAGCAATGTATTTATTTACCTTTTATAAGGAGGATGGAATGGAAGTGAGTAGAACCTTACTGATGCATATGGAGGTATATTTAAAACTCAGGAAACAAAAGGTGAATCAGTGAATGTCACATTTATGGTACAAGCTGCAGCCAACTGCCTTACGTTTAAGAGGAATAAACGCATACGGAGTCCTGTGCTTGCTTTCAGAGGCTCAGCTCTAGGAATGCATGTTGCAGGGAGGTGCCATATAGCTTCATGTTAATTGCACAAAACATGAGCTCTGGCTGCGTTTCGAGGGTGGTCAGCGACTCAGCTGTCACGGAAACCAGGCAGCTGTCAAGTACTTTTGCAAGAATCCAGGGCACCAAGCAAAGGACAGTAACAGCCTCGCTGGCCTTCTGCACCGTCGGTGCGTGTGGTGTGTTGACTGCCTTGAATTCTTGTAGAGATAATGGCAAATGGGAGCCTGCGCAGAGGAACGTGGCCACCGGTGCTGTGTGAGGAGCGGTGTTGCCTTATCCTGGAGAACTGGTCACTGTCCTCCAGTGTCAAGGGTTTGGAAAAATCTATCATTTGGAGCCAGTGCACTTATGGAATGGGCATGCAATAAAATTTTTATTGAACCTGTGCATATAGCATGTGTAGGGCAAAAATCAAAAGATGGTTGCAGTGTGCTTGTAAAGGATCCAATAAATGAAAGCATTGGTCAGTGTTCTAGAAGGGTAACTTTCAGCTCCATATCGAGAGACATTTTAACCGCAAAAGAATTAGTTTCTTACAGAAACGTGACACATCTACAGATAACTAGATTCTAAGGTCTAAGTTCCATAGAAATCATTGCCAGCTTCAAGATAGGGAGAGGATTCTCCCCAGAGAATCAGGAAGGACCTGAGGAGGAAAAGGTTCATTGTTGAAGGCCTTTGGGTCTTAGACTGCAGCTGTGGCCTTTGGATTGAGAGGAAGTGGAGAGCATTTGTGTCAGTGAACCAGCTAAGCAAGGGCACGCAGACAAGGAGTGGGCTTGTCTTGTATGTGACCCAGTAAAGCTCACTTGCTTTGCTTTCTCGGGAGCCCCAAGTTCAGGGAGCTTATTAGGCAGGATCACCACGTATTTTTGAGAATATGTCACATGCATCCATCAGAAATTGATAGAAAAAAATGACATGATCGTTTAACAAAGGATCTTGCCCTGGGTGTCCTTTAATAGTGTTCTTAATTAGCTCTAAGTAAACTTCGTTAAAATTCAGTCTGATACATGTCTAGCCCCTCTGTCTTTGGTAATGCTAAGCCCACATCAGATGAGCTATGATAAACTAAGCCACTCAGATAGGATGAATCTGAACCAGATGGGGCTCTTCTTATCTTTATGGGGTAAAGCAGGGCTCCCCCCCCCCGGTTTTGTTAAAATCCTTAGTGTAGTTCTGTAGGTCTTGGATGAGGCCTGGTTTCAACTTTTCTAACAAGCTGTTACTGCAGGTCTGTGGACCACATTTTGTGACTTGTTCTTCAACTCTGCAGTTTGACCCAAGATTACTTGCCAATACCTTTGGAGGGAGATACAGTTACTGTGTCAGTAATAATTTAAATAGGGGGAAGACTGTTGGTTTACTACTGGTTTATTGATTTAAAACAAAACAAAACACACACACTCTCATTTGTCTTTACCTGGAGCAGAATTTTACTTCTATCTAATACAAGGAATTCTTACCACTTTAAAAGTATTTCAAAGCAGAGTAACATTTATTTCTCAATTTTAATCTTAATTTACCCATAATATCCATCTTTTTCACAGAAAAAGTATTTTGTAATCATTTTGCAAGGAAAGCAGTTTCTTAAATTAACTCAGTGTAAAACGGTTACAAGAGTTATTGAACATACCAGTAGGAAATATTGGTGCACATTTCCCTACTCTATAGGGAAATGTTTTTAGCTCGGATCTGAACCAAGAAGCATGTTTCCTTGAATGATTTTATTAAAATGATGAGAGAATATTTTTCTAGATGCTCACCAGAGAGCCACATCTGCCCCATTTATTTTGTTGGGTACTTTTTGGCCTTTAGGATGTTCTTCATATGTCGCACCCATTCCTAACACGTAATGCGAGTGCCAACAAAGGAGAAAGATGAGTTATTAGTCAGTGAGGGGCAGATTCCCAGGGGATTCCAACGTAGGATGGGGCCTTTTCTCAGGGCCTCAGTAGGGTTCTGTGCCTGAACAAGCTGGGGGCGGAGCGAGGAGAAGAGCTCACAGGTACCGGTGCTGAGACGTGCTTGTGTCCTGCTGGCTTCCTTCAGAGACGATTGACGTGTTCCTTGACCTGGCTTTCACATGTCACCGGCTCCCCTGTGTATTTCATTTTCCTTCTCAGCATAGTGGCCTTTCTCTACTACTTCTATAAGACTTGGGCAACCGATCCCGGCTTCACTAAGGCTTCCGAAGAAGAAAGGAAAGTGGTGAGTTTTTTTGGATGTATTTTTTGTTTGTGTTTTGATATGTTTTAAAATCAGGGTATGCAAACTTCAGAGAGTCATGGCGTGTTGGCCTTTGTCACAGCCACCTCTAGTGCAGGCCATTGCTAGTGCAAGGTGATTGGCAGCAAGACTGAGATTTCAGCTGTTCTTCTTCTTTCCTATTTAGATGATGTTTTTGTTTTCTATGAAGTAATTGCCCCAAGACCTAGATTTGATTTTGTTACCATGTATATCTCTTCCTTCCTTGTAACAATATTTTTTGTTGTTTTTTATTTTTAACAATTTTATTGAGAAAGAAGTAGCAATGAGACAGTTTCAGAACTGGTTAGTAGGACAATTACAATAATACATTGCATATTGTTGTCTTTGTAGTAGTTATTCATAGTACAAGATACAGACATGTTATCTTGTTAAACACTTAGTTCAGAACTTCTCATTGAACTAAGAGAAAGCTGTATAGCTATGTTATTTTATATCTATGGATATATATATTTCACTGCAAAAACGTTTTTTGTTTGTTTGTTTGTTTGTTTGTTTGCGGTATGAGGATTGAACTCAAGACCTTGAGCTTGCCAGGCAAGCACTTACTCTACTGAGTTATCTTCCCGCCCACCCCTTGTAACAGTATTTAGATGAGAGTTGCTTAGCTCAAGTTCCCCCACTTGTACATGGAGCACAAGTGGGCAGGAGCCAAGGGGATTCCGTCTGAATGACTGTGGAGATCTCCTCTTCATCAAATGTGAAGTTGTTGGAGGATGTGGCACACTTCCCACTTGTTCGTGAATGTTTATTTTTGCTTGATTGATTGGATACAGGGTCTCACTGTACAGTTCAGACGCCTAGTGATCCTCCTGTCTCAACCTCCCCAGCACTGGGATTACAGGGGTCCCAGGGCCAGGACTACATGCAGTACCAGGGATTGAACTTAGGTCCTTGCACTAGCCAGGCAGGTGCTTAGACTGCTGAGCTATCTCTCCAGCCCTGTTCATGAATGTTTAGGGACTGGAGTGTTTGTTACCTCAAGCCAGTTTCTGAAAGCCTTGGCCTTTTTCCCTTGTAACTGATGGCTTTGATGGATCCTGGCGATTTTCTCTCTTTTCAGGGAGTGTACGTATGCACGTCCTTTCTTTTCTTTGTAGATTATAATTGGGAGGTGTTTTCATGAGGAGAAGGTGATGAGGGAGGTGTTGGAGAATATAGTTCCATGCAGCCTCCTTGACTTGCTTTTGGCTGAAAATGTGTCCTTGAAAAGTCCCATTATTTCAGGCACAGAGTGATGTGGCAGATAGTCCAGCTGTTCTAGTTGCTTCAGCTAGGAGCGAGAGCTCTGGGAATGGTACGTAGGCATGCATAGTCCGCTCCCCAGTGAAGTGCAGCCATCAGGTCAGACTTCTTGTCTTTCAGAATATCGTCGCCCTTGCAGAAACCGGCTGTCTGGATTTCAGAACATTCTGTACATCATGCCTTGTGAGTATTTGCTGTGTAGTTTTTTGTTTTTCATGGGAAAAACATATTCTTGATAGCATTGTTCATATACGCCTTTGGCAGATCTTCATGGTACATTTATACACTTTTTTTTTTTTCCAACCAATTCTAGTTTGTTATTACTGTCAGAGCAGTTTCCTGCTTTGGACATATGGGGGAATATTAATAATCTTACAAAGTGGCCTATGGTAAAATCTCTATGAATTATCCACAGTGGTTTTGGTTGGCTTTTCTCCGCTGTAAAGCGCGTTAGAGCTAACTTCAAATCCGAGGCTGGTAATCCTCGAAACCACTTAGTGAACCCCATCATTTGCTGATGGGGGGATCAGGGCCTGCCGAGAGGAGGTAGGTTCTCGTGGGCTGTCACAGAAGCCAGGATGGCAGTGGGGCTTCGTTTTCCTTAGCCCAGTGCTCCGCTCTTCTTCTCGGTACTGCCTCAGTTCCCCTTAGCCAGTGTGAATAGGCTCTGCAGTTCCCATCCCCCGTGGCGGTGGGTTATTCAGAGAACACAGAGTGAATTCTGTGAGATATTTCATAGCCCCTGTGTGAAAGATCATCAGTTTAGCATTGTGTGTGCTTGTGTCTTCACAAAATAGCGTTGAAATCTTGCTTGGGATATGTTGCTTTGAGACACTGATTGCTTAGCTCTCTCCTAATTGTCCCCTTAGATAAGAAAGCCGTTAAGGTCACTCCACTGCCACGTGTGCAATGCTTGCGTGGCTCGATACGACCAGCACTGCGTGTGGACCGGACGCTGCATAGGTGAGAAATTTCACTTTCAGTTGCCACTCTGAAGCTCAGCGTGTGTTATGCGTGACTCCTGGGAATCTGAGGGGCAGTTGGGAGCCCCACGTGTTCTGTGCCTTTTCTGAAAATCATCTGTGTGGTGGGAAACTTTGGGAAAACTGTTGCAGTTGAGGATGACAATTTTTGTCATTGCTGTAGTATTTTAGACTTTGAAAACCCACGGAATATCCGGCTTGATCATTGGAGCACAGTGGCGAGGTGGCTGTTACTCCCTCTACCTTACAGCTGCGAAGGTGTAAGCGCGCTGTTGGCATAGTGTCACCGTAGTAGCGTCACATCCTCCTCCACCGTGGTGACTTGGCTGTGGCATTCATCTTTTCCACTTGCTTCCCTCCAGCTCAGGCAGGAGCTGGACCCCGAGCTGTAAAGATCGGAGAATTGCCTTCCGGCTGGGCAACATTCCTTTTCTTGACCTGCAGCCCAGAGTTTCCTCTAAGCCATCACAGTAAAAGCCAGAGCTTCAGTGGGAGGGAAGTCAGAGCTGTGGTCAGGAGTCTTGAGGACAGGGTGTGCCTCTGCGGCCCTCCCTGCCAGGGCCGCCTCGCACTGCTCAGGCCGGCCTCCCTGGTGCATTTCGAGTGGCTGGGTGATTTCTGGGGTCCCACACTGTTAGGTCCTGTCCCACCATGACGGTTAGGTGATTGGCATCATGGAGACATTGAATGATGAAAAAACAACAGAAATGAGCCCCTACATTTTTATCACAGTGCGTTTAGCAGCGTCATCACGTGCATTGTTCTGTTTGGTTGCTACGGATCTATGAAGGACAAGAGGTGCATTATAAGCAAAAACACTAGTCAAAGAAATTAAAGAACCTTCAGGGACACAACTGATAACCCATGAGAAGCCCAATAATCTATAATAAACCTGTGTCTTTTGGTCCTGCGGGGTGTTGCTCCTTCTGTTGGGCCTTGGTACCTCAGGTCAAGGTGGAATCGTAATGTGGTCCCTGAAGAGCAGTTGTGCTTAGCACTGAAATGCTTCCATCTCTGCCATCCAGAAGGCCACAAGGCAGCACGTACAATAGAGGGCTTGGTGGCCTGACCCTCCTTCCTGTCTCAGTTACGCTTCTCTCATTGCTGGGACAAATACCCCATCCTCAAACTGAAGGAAGGAAAAGTTTGTTCAGCTCACAGTTCGTGAAGGTTTCAGTCCATACTCAGCTGGCTCCAAGGCAGAGCGGCACATTGCAGAGAGAAACCTTTCATGGCAGCGGCAAAGAGAAGAGAGCAAACTGGAGGAGAAGCAGCAATGGTGGCAGCAGAGAGCCAGTCTTTCCCCTCCTAATCTGCCCCAGGCTTGGTGTAGCACTCACACCCATAATCCCAGCAGTTCTCAGACCCATAATCCCAGCCTTGGGTTATGAATTAATCACAAACTCTAGTAGAAGTCCGCCCTATGACAGCATGAGCCTTTAGGGGGACACCTAGACACAAACTGTAACACTTGCTATCTGCAGACTTGGCCTGAGCTGATTTTGCCCTTTACTATGCTCAGTCCCTCGCATTTGTATTTGTATTTTGAGGTGTGTGTGTGTGTGTGTGTGTGTGTGTGTGTGTGTGTTGCTGCTCCTTGTATTTACCCCGTGATCCTGTGGATCAAGTCAGTCCTTGATGTTGGGCTTCGTGAGGCTGTACTCACTGACGCGTTCCTCGGGGAACAGCGAAGCCGGCCTGCCTTGGCTGCAGCCTGCCCGCCCCTCCTGCGCAGGGGCGGCCGGCCTGCAGCTGTGTTTGCTCAGTTGACTTTTTCTATTCCAACAAACTCCCTTCTCTGAGGAGTAGGGAGCTCATATTAGTTAATCATGGGTAGTGGGCTGCGGCATATCAGAACTGTTTGGTTTGGGGTTAATATCGTTTAAAAGCAGAGCAGCAGCTTAACATTCATTCTACTTTGGTGAATGCTTTTGACAAGAAAGTAGTTAATAAACTCCTACCTGGAAAGACACTGTGTGAAAAAGAAAGTATTAAGTGTGTTTTCTTTCTTTTTGGTCTAGGTTTTGGGAACCATCACTATTACATATTCTTCCTGTTTTTCCTGTCGGTGGTATGTGGCTGGATCATGCATGGATCCTTCGCCTGTAAGTATACATTTTCCTTACAGGCTCGCGCACCACAGCTGATTCAGCTTTGCCCTGTAGGCCCTTCCCACTGCGCCCAGCGGCCGTGTACCATGCCCCTAGCGAAAACAGGATTATGTTCTCAGATTTGCTGTCAGCGCGAAACTTCAGAAATACTAGAAAAAGGTCCTAGTCCTTCTGAAGAGAACCTTGATACAGTTCAAGAGTGTTCAAAGAAAGAAATTTGTGTAAGACAAATATAGATTTGTCCTCCAGTGAAGAGCAAAAGCCAGCTACTCCAGTAAAAAGCAGAGGAGAGAAGTAATTAAAAGAAAGGTGGCTGGTGGAGAGGGTGATGGCAGGTGGTCACAGAAAATCAAGGGCCAAAGCTCTGAAGTGCCTTCCACTTGATAGGTATCACACTGAAACAACTGATGGGGAAGCGGTAGCAGTGGGAAGGTTGGAAATAATAGCTTGGGGAAAAGCGCTGGGTCACTTACTCCGTAGCCTTGAGAGAGGAAAATAACTTTCGCTAGCAATTTAAGAAGTATCTCGGGCTGCCCGAGGGAATGATAGCCAGCCACACCGAGGTGCTCGGAGAAGGACAGGGTTTAGATTGAGGGGAGGAGGACTGGGGTTTGCGTGTATGAACTGCACGAGGAGGCCGGGGTGTAGCTCAGCCTCACAACGCCTGCCTGATAAGCGCAAGGTCCTGATACAAAAACGTAAATTCCTGGTACAAAAAGTAAAAAGAATTGCATGGTGGTGTCTCTCAGACCTTCAAATAGGATGCCTAACTATGCTACTAGCTTATTTATTTCTATGGACTTTAACTGTTTATTGTTTATTTATTCTGAAGGATTAGGGAACTTTAGGTGCAGTCTCCCCTTGTAGTCTGTTTCCCTAACCCTTCTGCTGTATTACCTGGAGATTAACTTGTTGCCTGAACGGAGCTGCAGGAAGACAGTTACAGGTCTTTCTCTGTATTGTTTTCCTCCAAGCAGTCCAATCTCCAGCACCCTTAAGTACTCCGAATCTTTCCCTGTCCCTTCACTGTCCCCTCATACCCCAGCTTTCTTTAGTTTAATTTTTTTTCTTTTTTATTTATTTATTGGATCTCACTACGCAGCTTGGGCTTGTGTTGATCCTCCTGTCTCAGACTTCCCAGTGCTGGATTACAGGCGTGCCCCACCACGCCCGGCTTCCGTGGCTGGCACAGCACACCTGGGGTTCTGGGGCCGGCACAGCATGTGGAATGGAGGATCAAACCCGGGTCCTTGCACTTGCCAGGCAGGTGCTTAGACTGCTGAGTTATCTCCCCAGACTCCTTTCTTTAGATTAAATACAATTTTTAGAAGAGAATCGAGCATATGCTTGTCCCCAGCCTCCTGGAAATAACCAGTGCTCCAGATTTCATTTTATTTGAGGTTTCCTGTGGAGGTTTTAGTATTTGTGAAACGGGTTTCTTTCTGCCCCAACCTAGGCATCCCAGAGACATCCCCTTGTCAGACCCCTTCCCACCTGACACGTTGTTGGGTGTCTGAGCTCTTGGAAATGCTTTGTAGGTAAATCTGTCACCATCTGCTGTAGGTATAATAGTCAGAAGGATAAGATCCCTGAGCTTAGGGCTTCTGAAAGGCCACCATTAACCCTAAATACTATGAGTTTTCAAACTTGGATTTTATCTTACAGCATAAGAAGTTAAAAAATGTTTTGGCATTGCTCCTGAGAGCTGCCCTCTTGAGGCCTGACAATAAAGCGTATTCTTAGGAAAACTTTCAGAGCTGGCCCGTGGACCCGTCTATCTCTTGGACTTGGTCCTAGGGGAAAGGAGTCAGATTTTACACCATTCTTGTCTCTCCTCTTCCCTCTCCTCCCTAAAAATAGCCTCCTGATTGGTGTCTGTTTCATCATAAGACTCTAGATAAGAACAGCTGAAATTTTCCATCACATTGAGCCTTTCCAAGCTTGCTTTTAATGTGATGCTGATTCTTTCCTCTTCTCTGTTTTCAAACCAGTTTTCCTACTGTATTTCATTTTTGAAGTCCAGTCCACCTTACCCTGACTTAGAGCTCTTTATTCCAGCTCCCTCTTCCTTACTTACTATTCTACATTTTTTTTTTTTTTTTTTGGCAATTCCCGCCTCCCCCCATCGTCCATCACTATTTCCCAGACAGGAGGTACGAACACATGTGTCATTTCTCTAGCAAGGCGTCACAAGCGTTCCTTCACCTCGGCCTACCCTTAGCACCCTTAGCTCCATGGTTCCACTGTACCCCCTCCTCCTCACTGACCCAACAGGAGCTGCTTGATCCATTTCCTCTCTTCTGAGGTCTGTTTGCAGGCTGGACAGCAAGTGAATGACAAAGTGTCAGCCTCCTACGAGTCGCAGGGAGAAAGGTATAGATCAGTATCGGGAAGCTCTGGGCCACTGCTGGAGCCTTATAGACAGAAGGTGAAAGTGGTTGTCTGGACTTGGAATATTAACCGCTGAAGACCTGATAAGATTCACGTATTACGTTACAGAAGCTCGTGCGGGCGGCCACCGAGTCATGTCTGATACAGAATCTGAAGTCTGTTTCAGGCTGAACTTAGTGTCAGGTCATGCTATGTTAACCCAGAGAATCCCCAGAAGGCAGCAGTAGAAATCCATAGACAGAAAGAAACTGTAGAGATTCTTTCCCACTCACGAGCTGATTTCTCCACCTGCTGTCAGAAATGATATTCTTTTCTCATGATACCCTGTTGTCTTTCTCTGCTCTCCTGAGAGAGCGTAATTTGCCTTCTCTTGTTGTCTTGACTGTTAGCCAGTGGCGATCACTCTTATAGTGGCTATGGCATCTGGTCATGAATTGAGCAAGATGCATGAAGAAGAACACAATAGGTGCTCAGGCCAGGGTTGAGAGTGGTTGGTCACGGACTCGCTTTCCTGTCCTGGGAACTCTGTGGCGCTGCTGTGGGGAGCTGTGTGAAACTGCTAATCAGATTGTCAAATAAGTGCCTGTGTGAAGCCTCAGGGCGCAAGTCTGGAGTTCTCATTTCAGAAGTGGTTTCCTGCAAGCCACCGCCCTGGCTCTAAGAGCTGCAACGTGAAGGATCTGTTCCCACGTTTCTGCTGCTTCAGGCTGCGTGGGCTCACGGGGTCAGCATCATGAGCCGTAGATGAGATCTCCCTTTTTTAATTTTTTTTTTTTTTTTTTTTTAGTATTTATTTGATAAAAAGTCTCTCTACAGAACTTGGACTCATAGAGAGAGTCATAGACTCCTCCTGTCTCAGCTTTCCCAGCACTAGGATTAAAGGCATGCACCACCACACCCAATTTCAGGGCCAGCACAGCGTGCAGTACCGGGGATCAAACTTGGGTCCTTGTACTCGCCAGGCAGGCCCTCAGACCGCTGAGCTATCTCTCTACCCAGAAGACTTCTTTTAATTGGCATCTGGTGCTGTGCAGGGGAAAGTGAGCTAGGACCATATTTGGTCTCGCTGTCCGTTCTTTTCCTTGGTGCCTGTGCCCCAGCCTTCACTCCCCAGTGAGGTAGTTATGGAGCCAGTATGGGGTGCACTCCCACCTGGCCCCTGTGTGCTGCCGAGCTGCGTGCGAGTGGTACCCCAGCACTCGTGAGGTGTCTCCTGCCCCCAGCAAACACTTGTTCATCTGTGCCTGTAATAAAAGTTTATATTCCGTCCTGGAGTGGACCTATAACTTGATGTAACATGAACAAGGTAGAACATTTTCTAAGATATTTCATTAGATATAATCATTCTCATAGGAAGAAAATGCTCAAGTGGGAAGGAAAAGAAAAAACGAGAAGGAAAAAATGGAAATCACTTTCTCATAAATAGAATAAGAGAGGTTGAAGGGTGGGTGGGTTTAAAGAGAATGGCGATAAATTAGTCTTTAAAGGTACAGAGCCCCCATAGTGAAAGTGATCACTATGCATATTTAAAATGTACCAGTAAACTATAACTAGATAATAAATAAAGTCCTTCTCAATTGCCAAGTCCTCCGTCCTGGCCAGTGCATGTCATGTGGCATGTGCTGGTCCTAGTGAGCGTTTTACGGCTTTTACGGCTTTCTGCTCTGATCTCCGTGCTGTTCTGGCGCCGCCGCACCCTTGCAGACGCTGAGGCACCAGAGCCTCCATCTGCGATTGAGCTGCATCTGGAGAATAAACCCCTGAAGCCGAATTCCTGCTTTGCGTTTTTGCTTTGCTTTTTGTCTTTGGTGCAAGGGATTGAGCCCGGCGCCACACAGGCATGCTGCGCACAGGTTTGCCCCTGAGTTGTCCTCCAGCCGCGAGAGGAGCTCCTATCAGCGCCGTCTTCTCCTGCTTTCTCTTCTCCCTAATGACTCTGCCGTGATTCCACCTCCTTGGATCACTAGTTTGTTGCCATTTGTAATTTTTTTTTTCCTGTACATTCACAGATTGGTCAAATCACTGTGCCACAACATTCAAGGAAGATGGCCTTTGGACCTACCTCAGCCAGATCGTGGCCTGCTCTCCATGGATTTTATATATCTTCATGATAGCAACTTTTCATTTCTCATGGTCGACATTTTTATTCGTGAACCAACTCTTTCAGGTATGTATTTCTCCAATAATCTTGGAGTAAAATTCCCAGCAACCTGTCCTTAAAAATCAGAAGACTGGGGCTGGTGAGATGGCTCAGTGGTCTAAAGCACCTACTTGGAACAAGCTTGGCAAAGCACAGGGACCGTGGTTCGATCCCCCAGCACCA